TCACTTGAGCGAGAGAGTTCCAGAACGTTCTCTTTTAGGAAATCCTATCTTGCTTTAGCTGGGTATCTTTTATCCAAATTCCTATTTTTCCTATCCAAGAGTAGCAAAATTGAGGATGTTACATAGTTGGGTTAAATCCACATTATAAGTAGATTTACATGGTTAATTGTGAGGAAATTTTGAATAATATAAAAGAAAAAGCCATAAAAGTGAACGAAAAATATTACTTTCTTAGCAAAAGCTTCTTAGAAGGAAAAAATAAATTTATTTGCATTTGATAGCAAATAAGTAATTATTTGTGTTTTTAATACAAAAAATCTAAGAAGAAAGCTTAAGGGAAAAAAATGTTAAAGCAAAATGTTGAAGAAAATAGAAATTTAATCTCTACATGTATAGGCACTATGTCAGAAATGAGACATGAAAACGGTTTCATTTTAAATTAGAGAGCATTTATAACTGTTCTAAAATTTTACGCTATCCAATGTGTTACATTTAGAAGAGCGGTATGTAAGATTGAAGAACAGTTCCATGCGAAACTGCTCTCCAAAGTATGAATCTTAACTACAAATTTGAAATTTGAAATTTATTTTTTTGTGAGTTGTCTATAGCAAATTAAAATTAATTTATAGGCCTCCCATTCAAAATTTCTTCATTTTTATCACAAATCAAAATTGAATCCTAAGTTTATACGCTATGTTAATCAAGCAGCCCATATTTACACAAACTAAACACAAGTAAGTAGAGAAAAAGAGAATAAATTAGTAAAATAATTCACTGTTAATAGAGAGAAAATTAAATGAAAGAAAGAGAGAATCAATGATTTATCGTTAATAAAGAGAAAAAGAAAGAAACAGAGAATGGAGAGAACTATGAAAAAGGTACTACAAATGTGAACAAAGACTAATTTGTTAGCGCTGAGAAGATGAAGAAAGCAAAAAAGACTAAGAGAACCAATAAACGTGAAAGAGACCAAAGACACTAACTTTGTTAACGCATAAAAGATGAAAATAAATTACAAAGATAAAAGAGAGTAGCTTTGTTAGCAAGACGAAGAGATTCATAAGTTGAGCGTGTTTTATTTATAAAAGTTAAAGACTTTAGAAAACGGTTTTTTGTTAACCGCTCTCTAATATATGACTTTAAAGAGCAGTTAATAGAGAACCGTTCTTAGAAGTATAAATATGAGAGCGGTTAACTACTCTCTAAAGTATATTTTAAAGAACGGTTAGTAGAAAATCATTCTCAGAAATATAGATCTGAGAGCGATTTAATGCTAACCGCTCTTTAAATGTATTGTTACAAAGTGATTTTTATTAAATGCTATTTAAGTTAGCACTCTAAAAGTTTATTTCTAACATAGTAAGGCCATGACATCTGTAACATCCTTATTTTTAATTAATATAATAATAGTATAAAATCAAAAAAAATTCTGAATAACAGAAATTTAAATAGAAAAAAACTTGAATAATAAGACATTAACCTTTAAAACTGGTTAAGAGAACATCAAATAATATGGTCATATGTGTTTTCATAATGTACAGTAGATATCAGTACCTCCAAATATACATAAAAGTTATCAAAATACATTAGGATCATTTATTTACATTTACAAATACTCAAAATAGTACTGGTCCTAATGAGCAGTCTACCCACCAATGACTAAGTGGCACTAGTCTTCCCCATGCCAACCCTCTATCATCGCTAGGTCTTCAGAATCCAGCTCGTCATCTGAGTTAAGGTATAGATCACCCAAATCGGTGGTGACTTGAGTACCCGTAATCTGCTCGATCGTCCATTTCGATGATATTCTGGAATGGTCGTGATCATGATATGTGACTAGATATGTTACTGCTACTGGAGTTCTCTCAGTGACAGAAAAGATATAAATACAGAGGGTATGATGGATTCGACGCACAGACAAATCAAAAGAGATGTTAAAAGCTAACTCCAACTCTATCATAACTACCTCACTAGGTACCTCACTATCATAAATAAGAATTTTAAAGTAACTAAGTCTCTGGTACTCGCCAAATACATCATTTACATTATCTATTACTGAACTATCTACTACTCTCATTCCCTTTATGGGTGCTGTCATCTGGATTCCCTAAAATGGTTACGTAAGGATGAGTCTTTACATTCATTACCAAGCATACATACACAAAGAATTCAATAATACAGATAAAACATTCAACATGCATCTTATAACAATTCAGTTATGCATCCAAATTATGTTCATCTCTATTTATCCTTTCGATATTGATTTCCATATTTAATTCCATTCTCAATTACACTATCATTTCCACTGCCCTTGGGATCCCTCGAGGTCTTCCATAGCATAGATAGTCACTAGATAGCCACAGCTACACAGATACAACATGTGCCGACCTGACCCCTTTTAGCAAAAATGTAATCAGGAGTATAGGCCAGGAAACAAGTGTGAGGCCTGTGGTGTTCCTACTCTTATTTGTATTATGCAATTCAAGAGGAATATCCACCACCCTCATTTTCCCAAGACTTCTCAGTCTTCTCCATCTTCCACATTCCCAGTGTACCTCTGAACCATTTATACTTGCCCTTATCATATACTTTCCGATTTCCTTTCTCTTTCTCTTTTTCTATCTCATATTTCTATATCTCTTCCTATTCCATTATTACATCATATGTTACTTTCTCATTGCCAAGGGTTATTCCTCTCGGACTCAGTACATCATACACATGCTCAGATTCAAATACACACACTCATCATCTATCATGTCAAACATATTCAAGCATCACAGAGCATGTTCTAAACATATCAATCTCATGTTATCATTCAATACATACTTATTTCAAGCATTTTCACCCATACACATAACAGTTCTTAGCAATGATATAGCACTCTCCTTACCTTGACATGAAGGTTTAGTAAAAGATTTTTGCTCAAAACGTGAGATTTTTCCTAAATATCACAAGAGACCTCATTTAGAGAAGGAGAATCAAGAAAATAACCAAAGGAATGGGAAATCAAGCTTCAAAAACTTATCAAAGAGCAAGGGAAGTGATCCTTGAGACTTTAATCAGAGAAAAGTTGGGGTTTTTCAAGGATTTGCTGAGAAAATGAGGAGAAAAGTCAGAGAGAACGTATGAGAGTCGTGACTTGGATTATAATCCAAGTTTCTTAACTTGGAAACCCTTAAATACCCCTCAACTCGCGACATTCTCACTATAGCGAGCCAATTCTCGCTATAGCAAAAAAATCAGACAAAATTGCACTTTGTTGTCTGTCATTCTAGTTACAGTGAGAGCTCCTCGCTACAGCAAGAAGATCCTCGCTACAGCGAGAGAGCACCAGAATGTCTGATTTTGATGCTGATTTTTTGTTACGGAGAGACATATCTCACTACAGCGAAAAATCCTGCAACCTACTCATCTAAAACTCTTCTAATTTCAAACAACATGCATTAATAACTCACATCAAATATAAAATTAATAATTAATAAAGTAGGAATGTTACAACATCTACTTTTGAACATCCTCAAATTCTGCCTTCTAAGCACTCTAGAAGGCATGCTTCAACAAATCCACTTATAATCATTTAAAACTTTTTTGAAGGTACAAGTTGGAACATTAGATTTTCAATGTCACAACATTGACTCTATAAAATGACTATAAATACGATGTGAAACTTTGTTTTTATATCAATTTTCATTTCTTCCACTTATAGATTTTATTTTTTTCTTATAAGCTTTAAGATTATCTTTAATTTAGAAGTCAAGAATTCATACAAATAAAAAGATTCTCCATCTTTTATTTCGTCTTTTCTTTATTCATTATGTTTTGTTGAGTTTATTAAATTAGGATTTCGTTGAATTTCTGAAGATATGATTGAATTTTGATTTAATAAACCTTGTGTAATATCTTTATATTCAATCTCAATTCAAATTTCTTGATTCATTTGCATTATCTATTTCTTTACTTAATACTTCATTAATTGATTGCTGAATTGCATGGAGTATTAAGTAAAGAAATCGTCATTACACTAAATATGTTAGTTTATTGATTTTCTACGAATAAGAATTAAGAATTATGAAATCTAATTCTTAAGTTTAACGTTGTTCTTGATGGAGTCTATTTAAGGAATTAAAATTTATTTTATTAAGAATTAGGGTGAAATGGCTAAAAGATTGGATCTTAACTATTTAATTATATTAAATCATTCAGTTGAATTGTAAGTTATAATCTGAGAAAATCATTTCAACATTTATTCCTAGTTAATTTATAATCTGAGAATCAAAATGAATTTTATTCCTAGTTAATTTATTTTTCTGCGAAGAACATTCACTTTGTGTGTTTTATAATTCTTTAATTTAATTCTACATTTTAAATTTATTATTCAACTCACTTTCTAATTTTTAACTTGTAGTTACTGCACAAATAATAAAACAATTTGTTTATTCAACTCATTTTCTAATTTCTATTACTTCTTATGATACGTTATATATATTAATTTTATATCTAATAATCGTTTATTACTTTACTCTAAAGGGTTAGAACTTAACGTAGATCAAAGATGCCATTCAACGTAGGATCTCCTCGCTACTGGTAATCAGGTCGTCAATGTAATATAGTTTTCAAAGATTAATATTTTAATTAACATGCTTTATCAATATCTTTTAAAAATAAATCTCGGTGGTGAATCCGTGATATCGTTTTTACACATTTTTTGCTCGTGCCAGTTTGGGGTCGCGACACGTGAGAAATGTAAATATATGTAATACTGAAAAATATTAATTTTTTTTTTTTAATTTCATTGAACATGGTACGCTTAATAATTAAGTTTTTTTTTTTTTTCAAATCACTTACGTTAAAAGACAACTACAAACATACCATGACAACCATGCAGCAATAAATTTTACGAAAGCACCAGTACAGGCCAAATCTAGAACATGTAACAAACCACACAATTAAAATAATGACATGCTGCATATGGAATACATATCATAGCCTTGGCAAGCTTTTCACACGCCACAATAGTCTTTCATATTTGCAACGTAGGTGAAGTTCAGTAATCCAAGATGATCGAAAGGCTTATATTGCAATGGGTGTTCCTCATCAATTAGCTCTTCAGGCACTTGTAGTATCCCTTTGGAGAAAGCAAACAGACCAAGAGAGTACCTTGTTTCACTCCCATTCATCCAAACTTTATGGTTAGGTGACTTTATTCTGTCGTTGCTCCATGCCTATATATATAAACGAAACAAGAGTATAAGACAATCAATTCATCAACATATATATTTCATGTGAAAACTTTCTGTCTTCAGCCATCCCAAATAAAAATAACTTACACTTAGCACCTAATGTGTTAGTTTAATTTTCACATAAATTTCTTGAGTTATAAAACTTAAGCAAATTAATAATAAAAAAAGCAAGATAAAAATACTTTATAAGCTTAACCCAGTTATAAAACCTTAAATTAGTTTAAATTTATTCTCACCATGAGTGCATCGCCAGCCATGACGACAAATGAAGTAGGTGAAGAGAAATCAACATCAATCCAATTACCATTCTTTGTCTCCACCATGAGTGCATTGACATGATTCTGGTGAAGAATTGTTGTGAAGCTCTTGTCAGTGTGTGCCAGAAAACCCAGTTGAGGCTCGACCTGTTCCGGTGCCTTGTGTGCCAAAAGCCTAAGTAGATAACTTGTAGACCCTATATATGAGTCATAGTACGCCAAAACACCATAACTTTCAAATATCATTCTGGCCACCATGCTATCCAATTCTTCCGCTAGCTTTGCATACTCAAACAAATATTTACTAGATAAATCCACAACAACAAAAAGAGGGTAATAGAATTAGTTCTAGAGTTAATACAAAAATTTTGATTACATTTTATGATCAAGTAAAAGAATTATTTCAAAAGCAATGATTTACAGGAAAATGTTTGTGTTTAACTTTTGGAGATCCCTTGGACTTTTCAGGATGCGTATATACAGAAAATATAAAAAATAAATGAGAGATGAACATAATTATATATCCAATATTATTTATGGTATCGATTTTTAATTGTTTAAAAAGAAAATTACACTTTACCCTGTAATTTCATGTTTTTCTAATTTATTTCCTGATATATTTTTTCTATTAATAAACTTTCTTGTGGAGTAAACTGATTAAAAAAATTACAGCATTTCAAGAGAATACTACACGAAAAAATGAAACGTCACAAATTTAGTTACAGAGAAAAAAGTATAAAGGATAAATTTTAAATATATATATATATATAAGAAACTATTTTGCATTTTTAAAAACTAAATTTTTTTAAAAATGTAAACAAACATACTCTAATTATCCCTTTTTAAATAACAAAACCACAATGTATATGGGTACTCACCAAAATTGATGATTTCCACTGGGCCACATTTTTTCAGCGAATCTTTGAATTCCCTCGAGTGTTGTTCCTTCATCTATACCCATACTTTCATGAAGAGGGATGTTGGGGTTCTGTCCAACGTAACTTTTCAAGGGCATACCCTCATATATGTTTCCTCGTTTGGTTTCTGTTGGGAGATCGAACAGCTCCTTTAGGTGACCGAATATACCATTTCGAAGCTCATCAGAGGCTTTATCATACACTACTACAAAGCAACCATGCTCTTCAAATGCTTGGCGCACACTTCTGCATGTTGATAACCAGGAATTGGTCCCTGGCTTCAAGTCTTCCTTAGTGAAATCAAGAACAGGAAGCTTGTGCTGCCCATCAGAACCCATTTGATTATGTGTCTGTATGAATTATTCGATTCCCAAGCTAGCTATGCAAATCGGCCGTTTCAAATTTTCGGGAAATTATATGCAGAAATTCGGAGTATTATGGTGTTGATCAATGCAGGAGTTTAACTTAATATTTTGACAAAGCTAATTTTGTACTCATCTGATCATGTTCTAAAATTAATCGAGATGCCGCCAAATTTACGCAATTGATTTTAACGCTACTAGTTGTAGCTTCTGTTTTAAATGTTGCAGATGATTTAACGTGTTTTCAAACTCATTTATAATAATGTCAGTTTGTTTTCACGTTAAAAATATAGGAAAGTTTATATTTATTTTAACGCTACTACCTGTAACTTTTGCTTCAATACTATGTTTCCAAACTGATTATTAATCTACAATTATGATTAAAAGAATAATTTTTCATGTTATTATCCATTAACACTAAGTATGAAACTTGAACACTTACATTATTTAATAATTTTATATAAAATATAAAATTAATCAATTCAATAATTAGTTTGTTGAAAGCATTTATTAAGTATATCAGCTTTATCAAATTTCATGAAAAAGTAAAGTTATTAAATACTTCATTACATTATTTTATTTTAAAAATAATATATTTTAAAAATATAAGTAAATATTAAATTTTGAATAACATACTTATAAATATTCAAATTACATAAAATTTAATATACATAATAAGTAAAATAATATAAGATTATTCAATAGTTAAATTAACTAATTTTGCATTCCATAAAAAAAATTTCAGTGTTTAAATTTGAACATTGTATCAACAAATCTTAACCTATATATGTATTAACACTTACACTACTTAGTAACTTCCATAGAATGCAAAATTAATTAATCTAATAGTGAATCATCTTATATTATTTTCCTAATCACATATATCAAATTTCATATAATTTAGACATTTATAAATATATTCAAACTTTGATTTTTACTTATGTATTAAAATATAAGTTGAAATAAAGTAATAAAATAAAGTATTTAATAATTCTAATTTTTTTTATAAAAATTTATAAATTAATCAATTTAATAAAAATTAAGAACTTTTAAAATAATGGTTGAATTAGTTCATCTTCTATTTTATAAAAAATTATTTTATTTTATAAAAAATTATTAAATTATGTATTAACATTAGACAATAAAAAACGTTTTGTCTAGATCAAAAGGATGACCAATGGCAGATGACAAAAATAATAGAAATAGAGTAAAAAAGTTGTACTATTTGAATTAGTAGAATTTAAAAAATGAAAATAAAAAAAATAATTTTAGCTTGTTTGGATCAGCTTTTAAGAGTGAAATGAAATAAGTAAATTGTTTAAAAAAAATATTTTTATAAATATAATAATACAAAATTAATTTTAAGAAAAAAATAAAAATTCAATATAATATTTTCTGAATATTTTTATTTGCTATTATTTTTTTATGTTTATATTATCGTAAAATTTATATAATATTATAATCAACTTTAAGAGAAAAAGACAATGCATCCAAACTAGAAAAATATTCTCTCTATATAAAATCTTTCTTCTCGATTTAAAAGAATCAACACGTCTTATAAACAAAGTGTAACAAGCTTACAATATTTAAAAACATTAGATAAAAATAAAACAAAATGAAAAAATATAAGATTTGAAAAAATGAGAGAATAACTTCTCTGTTGTGACATAGTTATCTTGTTTTCCTTAAGGATTATAATTATGGAATTGTTTTGGTAAGTATTTCAAAGATATTAATTAAAAATATAAAAAAAGTAATTACTTAACGAGTACTTTTTTCCTTAATATTATTTGTCTTTTAAAATAATATATATTTTAAGAAAATTATTAACTATAAAAATTATTATGTAAAATGTTTTTTTAAAGAGTTATAGTGCTAATATTATTTAAATATTTAGAAGAGATGCCTACATGAAGAGTTTATTTAAAAGAATTAATTAATATTTTTTATTTTCTAAAATGACAATTATTTTAAAATAGACTAAAAATATACAATAAGAGACCAAGAAGTTAAGTGTTAAATAATTATTACATGTTTTATATGTTTTTATTTTTAATATCTTTCTTTATTTGGGGAATTAAAAACTCTAGTTAACATTTACTTATAATTCTTCTATGATTTTTCACTTATACTTTTTTCTATGATTCTTCTTATTTCATTGAATGATATTTGAATTTACGTGGCAAATAAAAATGTCACACTTTTATATCAAACTAGTACTAATGTACCAAATAATGTAGTCTTTAATAGGATATCACGCAGACATTATTGAGCGACTAAACAGAAGATATGATTTTTCATCAAAGGGTTAACTCCATGCTGCTAATAAATATAATATTAAAGTTATGATTTCTTAACACACACAAGTTATATGTTTATTTTATTATATACTTTACAATTAATGTTCTCTTGTGATTGAGTCCAAATTTTTCATCTCATTATTGAATCAAATCAATGAAAACTTGAATTTCCTTAATTTCACTAATAAAGAACGGATTTTAAATTTCACGTATAAAAATTTCATTTTAAAAAATATTGTCCATCTTTATTATTATCTTTAATGATACTGATTATCAAAATAAAATTTAAAATTTTAACTAAAAAAATAATACTAATAATGCTTAAAATACTAGGTATAATTTTATTCTCTTTCAGATACTTCTCATATAAGACCAAAGAAAAAGACATCTTATATATATAAGGGATAATATGAATTTGCATTTGGCTGACTTAAAAAAGGGGCATCATAACGTGGAGTTCAATGATTTCCTATAAAAATGGTATTTGATTGCAAGTGATGAATGAATAAAAAGAGAGTGGTCCTTTGGATTGATGAAGAGCTATCATCAAGTGGGGTCCAAATTCGAATAATGCAATGATTCAGCAAAATGCAGAGCAGAAAATGTATATACTTATTGTTGTACCAAAGTTTCAGACTACCTAATTTGTATTCTGTTTATGAAATATGAAAAGATAAAGTGAGTTGTTAATAAGCTCCAAATATCAAATAAAACTGTGTTACATCGATAGTGACACAAATCGGCCACTTTATTTATTTATTTTGTCTGATTTGTTTTTAAATTTGGTACGTTGACGCCTTTGGCAGATTTCCCGGGTATAATAATTGCTTTTTCTTTAAATAAAGTTATTACCACATGACATTTTGTTTCTAACGTTGTCGTTAGAAAGATAATATATCTATATTTAATTCAAAAATAATCTATTAAAATTACCACATGACATCTTCTAGATTTTATTTTTTCCAATTTTTTATTTATTCCATTCGTATTTTCTTTAGAATTTTTTTTGTTTATAACCTTCTAATTTTAATTTTACATTTTTATTACTATTTTTTACTTTTGAAAAAATAGCAAAAAAAAAAAACACAATAACTTTAAACAAAATAAAAATTCTTATTTCATAATGTGTGTGAATAGAAAAAAAAACAACAAAAGTTAATGAAATATTCGTTTAGTGTTATTTATTTTCAGACTTGCTTAATATAACATCCTATAGTAGATGATGAGTGTGTGTTAGTTATGTATATGAGTTTTTAAATTTAGCAATAAGAGAGAGTAAAATGAAAAATATTTTCTTTCAAAAATCTTACTTTTAACATTTTTTTATGAGATAAAAAATTACAAAAGGTTTTATTGGATTTAATATTTTTTTCCCAAATATTAGTTTGCACTAAAAGAGTAAATATATGAATAAGTCATTTGGTAGGTAAATATAACTTATTTTATTGATTAATTACTTTTTATTTATATTAAGTGCATATTATAACATAAAAAAGTATAATAAATTTAAATAATTTTTATAAATTATAATTTAGTATTTAAGCATTTTTAGACAGTTAAGTTATTCTTCCAAAGATTCACTAACCATTAATTTAATTATTTTAAATATTTATGATATTAAGTCTATCAAACATTAAAAAGTATGAATATAATCTTTATTTTAATTTATATAGCATATAAAATGACGAGATATATTTTTTTTATATAATTTATTTGACGTATACTTTTTAATAACTAATTTAGTATAAAGTAAATTGTCAAAATACTAAATATATAAATTTGTATTTTCTTTAGGGTAAGTTATAATGAATTATATTAATAAAATTCTACAAAGTATTATCATCAATAAATTTTGAATGGTTAATAATATAATAAAATATATAAATCGATGATAAGTTTATTTGATTTGGAGCCAACATAAAGTAAAGGCCCTGGTGGTCACACGGGCCACATTGCTAGGTTCAATCCATTTTGGATCACACTCCTTGCAAGGCATTTTATAATAGGGAGTTTCTATTCATACTATCAAGTGTTAACGTTGAGATATATTTTAACAATTTTTATAACTTGTACTCTAAATACAAACATTCTATGATTTTCAAGGAATAAACTATGCTCTTTTCAATTTTTTTTCATAAGGTGACATGTTTAAATACAAACCAATAGAGATTTATTTTCTCTACAAATTTAAAGTGGGACTCTCAACCTAATTTTAATTTACTCTTCCAACAAATTATCAAATTTATAAAGTAGTGTTTGATTGTAATAAAAGATTTGTTCACAAATTAGTCTTATTTCACTCATTAATTATGAAATTTTAAAAATTGATTAATTAACCTTTAAAAGTTTTATTATATAATAAGTCAACACTTTGTTACGCTACTTATTTTACATTAAGATTTCAAATATAAAGAAGGAGAACTCAAACAACAGAAGAATATGTAGAAAAGAATATATGAATTTTTTTGAAAATGACGTGTAGTTGAAGAGGTAGAAACAAATATATAATAGGTGTAGTGTTATCACGTGGCAAGTATCATCATAATACATGCGAATTTTTTCAAAAAATAATTAATTCTTGCTTCTTTTTTCTTGATATTTATGCTAGCACATGCCAATGTTAAAATAATTATCACTCTAAAAAATGTGATACTTAATTTAAAAATATTAATATAA